GTCGAGAGTGTGCTTCATCGGAGTCGCGTTTCTCTCTAATCTGACCAGAAAGGAAGTCTGGTGGTTCTCATTTGTTTTGTGTCAATTGTTAATCTAATCCTTGGTTATGCTTATTCTCTGCGCGCTTCTAGAGATTCTATGGGCTAGAATTGTTCTCAATAAAAAGGGCTTTTCATTCTGGTTGCCTAGATTGCAGCGAGTACAGAGGTAGCATTGATTCTCGAGGCAAAACTTTAGGAGATGTTTCTTGTTTGTGTGGTGGTTTTAATTGTTTTTCTGGGTGGGCGTGTTTATGATCATGTGTTAGGAGTATAGGTAGAAGTGAATTGAGCGAGAATGCTTAGTGTTTTGAATAGGCATGTTGCTCAGGGTTAAAAATCATCAGATTATATAATTGCAGCGTCATTCGAGTATGTTTATAGATCTGTTATTTAATATTGTCTGCTCAGTTTATGCTGAGCGCTCCCGGGCAGTACTCCATCTTCGGTATATTGATCGTTCGCTTCTTGCGTGACATGTTTCTTCCTTGTTATTTTTGGGTCTATTTTTGTTTATTCTCAGCCCACTCAACACTCAAAGAGACTATACATTTTCTACGTGGGTGGTGATGTATTGCTGATTCACATTTTGGATCTACTTCTGGTTAAATTGAGTTTTTAAAAATATTACAGGTTGAGAGCTACTCGTTTCTTAGCTGTCTTAACATGAACTTCCTGGTTATTTTGCCTTGCTCTAAGCCCTTCACAAGTTTTGAAGAGTTAAATTTTTGCTATCCGTAGTTCAGTCAGCCGAAGGTGTTTCAAGAATAGAATGCGGAGAAAGCATAAGATAGAAAATATAATAAGAAAGGTATTTCAGTGCTTTTGCTGTAAATGTGGGAGTAGAGATAAGTAAGTAGCTATGGAGTTTTGAATGTGAGAGTGAATTTTTGTTTTTTTTTTGGAGAGAGATCGGTCTTTTTTAGCTAGGCTATTTTACAGTTTTCTTTGCTACTACACTCAGATCCGTGTTTATATTGGGACAGAAGTGTTGTTTTGGATGGTGATTTGGCTGGAATGTGAGGAAAAGGAGGAGATAAGAAGCATTTTAGATGTAATGTCGGGCGAGGCTTGTGATGAAAGGTGGTCGCATAGTATGTTTTATAACGTGAAGTGGTTTGGGCCCTGGGGGGCCCATCGACAATGAAGGTGGATGTTCTGTTGGTAGCATAATTTAGGGATTCATATGGTAATGTGTGGACGGCGAGATTTGCTTTGCGCTGTAGCGATGGGCGCATTCGTGGCTATTAAGAGGATAGTACGTCAAAGTAAATAGTTCGCCAGCGAAATGATTTCAATCCCAATTGTGTTGATGATTTCTTTTAAAGTGTTCGCGTCAGGAAATAACAAGATGGTGGTATTTGCTTAACTCTTAATCTTACCATTTATTTCCTTTTAGTGTTTTTTTAAGCTTGCTCTCTCTTTTACCCATTTATCCATACTTTCCTTATAGTGTATGATTTTCTAAATGTAGAACAGAGCTGCGTTAAATAGTCTGGGTAATCTGCTTAAGCTCTGTCTTCAGCTTTTTACATAGTGGGGAGGAGGACTTATAATGGTAACATCAGACTCAAAATATTCATTCTGCAGGACAAAGCGCCTAATTATATTAATAGTCAACATATCCAGACTTTTTATCAGGTCCACCAGAATGGAAAGTTTAACTGCGAATAATTCAGGAGCGGGTAAAAATGGATACGTCCTGTGGAGGGAGTTGATTTGGAGGACCTTTTTGGGGGATTCGTAAAACTTTTAAAATTTCCACTTATTGTGACATAAAAATATCATGCAAGTCCCCACCGGCCATATTTAAAGGCTTTCAAAATTACAAAATAAGGAGAGGGATATTATCTAAACGCGAAACTGGTAGGTGTGATGGCTGTCCTCATTTCCTGGGATACTCTGGAGCCTCTTTTTTTTTGCTTCTACTCATCCCAGTGAGGTCAGAGCACTAGGGAGAGGAGTTACAGGGATGATAGATGTTAAGTCCGGACTGGTTGTCATACTGTTCTTCAGGTGTTTGTCCTTGCAGCAGTTGAAGAGGACAAGAATCTCTTCCTCATCCTGGAAGAGTTTTCCAAACACTAAGATTTATCAAGAAGGAGGAGTCAGCTTGGACACCTGCTCAGTAAAATTCTCTTAAAGAGGGTTTTATATTTTGGATGGTTCCTCCAATAGGTAATAACTGAATGTCACTTCATAAGTCTCTGATTTACTTATACTAAAAAGTGGTGCTCTGAGTTAGCTGTTTTTGGAGAGGAAGTTGGAGTCTGGTGACTACCACAATGGACTCTGGAATGCTGACTCTGCCACCTGTCAGCTGCGGGTTAAGTCTAAGCAATGTCTTTAACCTTAGCCTGCTTCAGTTTCCTCTCTTTAAATCATTGGAGTATTGACATCTGTTCTAAGATTAAGGTAATGTGAAGATCAAATGTTTAATATTACGTAGAAGCGAGAATCAGAGTTATATACATTGAGTAAGGTGCCATGTAATGTTAGAGGTCCATTTTTATATGATTTCCCAGTGTTTTCTGTCATTGGGTAATGGAGTACAAATTTCATCCCACAAATCTCTGATGTGTAATTAAAGCTTCTATTGAGAAAATTGGAAGTCAATCTTAATTTCGGGTTCCTTTCTTTTTTTTTTTCTTCCAACTTTTTCGAAT